AAAAGCTGGGCGCGAAGAAGCCAGGTCCGGCACATAAATATAGGTATGAAATCGCTATAAATGCATACTTTGCACTGTATTTAGAGTGGTAGCACATTATTTGAGGCTAAAGAGAAAATCCCTGTTAATATATCTGTTCTCTCAGGGTTTAGGGTTTAGACTTTATTTATGTTCTTTACATTTACATGTACATCTTAAACCAGAGGGAATGTAAAAATGTTACCCAATGCAGCAGGTAGCAAATTACTATAGGCAAGAAATCGCTATAAATACGTGCTTCTGACTCTATTCAGAGTGATAGCACATAACTATAGACATGAAATCGCTATAAATACGTGCTTCTCGGTGTATTCAAAGTGGTAGCAAATTACTATAGGCAAGAAATCGCTATAAATACGTGCTTCTGACTCTATTCAGAGTGATAGCACATAACTATAGACATGAAATCGCTATAAATACGTGCTTCTCGGTGTATTCAAAGTGGTAGCAAATTACTATAGGCAAGAAATCGCTATAAATACGTGCTTCTGACTCTATTCAGAGTGATAGCACATAACTATAGACATGAAATCGCTATAAATACGTGCTTCTCGGTGTATTCAAAGTGGTAGCAAATTACTATAGGCAAGAAATCGCTATAAATACGTGCTTCTGACTCTATTCAGAGTGATAGCACATAACTATAGACATGAAATCGCTATAAATACGTGCTTCTCGGTGTATTCAAAGTGGTAGCAAATTACTATAGGCAAGAAATCGCTATAAATACGTGCTTCTGACTCTATTCAGAGTGATAGCACATAACTATAGACATGAAATCGCTATAAATACGTGCTTCTCGGTGTATTCAAAGTGGTAGCAAATTACTATAGGCAAGAAATCGCTATAAATACGTGCTTCTGACTCTATTCAGAGTGATAGCACATAACTATAGACATGAAATCGCTATAAATACGTGCTTCTCGGTGTATTCAAAGTGGTAGCAAATTACTATAGGCAAGAAATCGCTATAAATACGTGCTTCTGACTCTATTCAGAGTGATAGCACATAACTATAGACATGAAATCGCTATAAATACGTGCTTCTGACTCTATTTAGAGTGGTAGCACATCACTATAGACATGAAATCGCTATAAATACGTGCTTCTGACTCTATTCAGAGTGGTAGCACATTACTATAGGCATGAAATCGCTATAAATATGTGCTTCTCAGTGTATTCAGAGTGGTAGCACATTACTATAGGCATGAAATCGCTATAAATATGTGCTTCTCAGTGTATTCAGAGTGGTAGCACATTACTATTGGTATATAATCGCTATAAATACATACTTTGCACTGTATTTAGAGTGGTAGCACATTATTTGAGGCTAAAGAGAAAATCCCTTAGGATCTCTTAGGGTTTAGACTTTATTTATGTTCTTTACATTTACATGTACGTCTTAAACCAGAGGGAATGTAAAAATGTTACCCAATGCAGCACATACTGTAAAACAGAAAATAATCACGCTCAATCTAGGATTTTTCAGCAAAGTGTTTATTTTTACAAATATTTCAGCTTTTCAGCAGGTACCTCTGACGGAAATACTGCTTCTCATCCATACATGATAAAAAAATGGAAAGTACTTTGTGGTCGTGTGGATTTTGGATCACAGAGAAAACAAAGTTGCCTCGAGATAAATGTCCCAGTCATCTTGTTGGTCATTAACCAGTTTCCTGAGGGCTCTAAAATGAAATCATAAATGTTAAAAGTACTGTACTTTCCTGATTTACTAATTTATGGTGATTCATTGTTATATAAACAGTGTGAAACTGTTTAAGAGTTTACAGATTGGTTTGACATGTATTCACCGTATAATTTACAGACATTTTTAACAGTGTACTGTTGTGTGTCCAGCTTGTTGTTATAGGTCTCACGACTTCCACCTCCGTCCATCGATGAGAATGATGAGGTGGTTGGATTTGGACCATACAACAACGTTCCTCGCGAGGTGCCTGTACTCTTCCTCCTTGTTGTTCATAAAACACCCCACATTGGCTGTGTCATCTGCAAAGTTCTGGATGTGACACAGCTCGGAGTTGTACCAGAAGTCAGAGGTGTATAGGGTGAAGAGGAAAGGGGACAGCACCGTTTCCTGAGGTGCTCCGATGTTGTTGACCACAGCGTCAGACTTGATGTCGTTCAGGCTGACAAACTGTGGTCTGTCAGTGAGCTAATTGGAAATCCAGGCAACAATACAGGGTTCCACTGGATGGTGTTCAAGGCTCTAGAAAAAGCCAAGAACGATAGCATCCTCTACACCAGACGTCGCAAACGTGGTGCCCGGGGGCACCTGGTAGCCCCCGTGGACTACTGTAGTGGACATTCTTTTGATCCCAAATCAAAGACAGGAACATTGAGATGGAGTTCCATGTTGAAACTGTGTTTTTATTACAAAGAGAGCAAGACCAAGCAAGAGAGTATACAAAGTACATTCAAACAAAAACAATTATGCATAAAAACTAACTTACAGAGACAGTGGAGTCAGTGCCGATCTAGTAGGCTGCCGGTTACTCAGGACCTATGCCAGGAGCGCTGACTCACTAACTGTCCCGAGACCTCTGAATTTATACAGACATACAAACAAACAAGTTTGAAGCAGGGTTTTCTCTCAATGAAATTCCTCTGGAGGTGCGTTACCATGGCAACTATAGAGTGTCTCCCCCCACTTTCTGCTGCACATGTTCCAGGGGTTACATACAGTTTAAGACAGGCACTAGATGTATATTATCAGAAACAGTATTTCATATAAAGGTCCCACATAGTTTAAGACAGGGAATATGCATATATCATAAGAAAAGTAAAAACACTTCGTGGAAATAATTAAAATGATTAATTAATTAATTAATTAATTCACACATTTAATTATTATTTAAATGTGTGGAAACAAACTACACATGTCTGGGGTGTCAAAAGCAGATGGTTAACTGTTCTTTGCTGATAAGCATTTGTTTAATTAAACCTTCCGAGTCAACATATATGAACCTGTTGAGTTATAGCAGAGCAGTAATACTCCTACACTACCTAAGGTGCCCGCTTGGCGTGTTAAAACTAGTCAAGAAGAGGGTCCAAAATTGTACTGTTACTGTGCTTTTGGAATCAATTGCACTTGCAATGATATTCAAATGGGTCCGAAAACTAATTATGATTACATTGTTCAGGAAGTCTGTATCAAAAAAGTAGCTCTTCGTATCACTAAGTGTCCTTGAAGTAGCTCTCAGTTTCAATAAGGTTGGTGACCCCTGCTCTACACCAACCTCCACCCTGTAGGCAAACTGTAGATTGTCTTGGGCATGTTGCACCTCTGGCCTGAGGAGGTGGAGGAGGAGCCACGGGTTGGAGGTCATTCAGCTCACTGGGCCGGTTCTCCGGATCTTCCAGATGTTTGGCACACTACCTGGTTGAAGATTTAGGTTTCTTGGAGCAGTGTAGGTAGTACTTTAGTGGCCATGAACACACTGTGTTTCCTCAGCGTTTCACCTCCCTCTGTGCTGCTCTCATCTCCGCCGTGTTGTTTCTCCTGAAGCCCTCCTTCTTCCTGTTGAGAAGAGCTTTGACTTCCTGTGTTATCCATGGTTTATTATTAAGGTAACACCGTACAGTCTTTGCAGGGGCAACCACATCCAAATAGAAATTAAGATAATCCATTAGGTGGTGGGTAACTGTGCCAAACAGTTTCAAAAATCATCCCATGAGAGACAAAAAATTGAGTAAAAAACAGTAAAAAAAAAAACAAAAAACAAACAGAGTACAATAAATCCACGGACAAGGTACTGATGCTTGACACTCTTGGAATGTAGGCCACAGTTGTTGTCAATGACATTCGGAGATTCTGTTTTCTTTTTTTAGAACATCATTATCATTAGAAAAAAACGAGATCTTTGAGTGTTCATTCACAAATCTCCTATATGTTCCTTTTCTCCTCTTTCCTGGCAACTCCATCTTTGACATCCTTTGTCTAATATATTCACTCATATATATAATATATATATATATATATATATTCATTTCTAATTCTGTCAATCTTAATTACTCTCAGAGAAAAATCTAAGCATCTTCATCTCTGTCATCTCCAACTCTGCCTTTTGTCTATTTTTTATATACTTTTTACATGTAGGGGACAGGTGAGTTTGAATCTGTGTTATTTTGGACATACATCATCATTATCTAAGCCAGTGATCTTCAATGTGGGGGCCGCGGCCGCCAGGGGCGCTATGCGGGCTCAGAAAATTAGAGGGAAGTTAAGAAAAAATGCAAATAAACAAACAAACAAAACCGTTGGTTCTTAAGATTCCGGTGGTACCTGAACGCACCTCGGACAGACATACACATAAACACACTATGGGTGATGTTCATAAATTATAATTGTTATTGTTCTTATTCAATAGTTGATGTTTGTGTTTTATCTGTGTTAGGGCACGGTTGACTTTCATTGTGAAAGTACAACCTTTATTTTGAATTTCCGTTGCGTTGTTCCGGAGAGTGAGAGGAAAAGATAGTCGAGACACAAATTAACGCATTTAAGAGACAATGAAGGCTACAACCTTTTAGGTAAATAGAGATAATTCCTCTGTTACAAAGCCCACGAGGTAATATACGTTTGGTTGAATTGTACTTTTTTTTACTTGTTGATTTGTTTTTGTTTACTTTGCTGATAAGTAAGTATGTATGTTTCTTTACATTTTGCATTGTCTGAGGGATTGCAAAGGAGGTCCCCGAGCAAAACCGAATGTTGTTTTTGCGGTCTTTGCATGTTTTGGTAATCCTTTAGCTGTCAACATGACTCTAGCTATGGTTTTATTTCTCTCCATTTACTCGTATTAATATATAAATGTTAGTGTTTAAATTTATACACCTATGGTTTTTCTTTCTAATTATTAATATATAAATGTTAGTGTTTTTATACACCTATGGTTTTTCTTTCTAAATTTTACATAGATAAACAAATAATGTTTTTAGCCAGGTTACTATAGTTTACCACGGCTAAATAAACGAAACCGTTAAAAACAGAAATACTCTAGTACCGTAAAAATCCAGTAAGTGGTAGTAGAGCACAAGGAAAGAAGTAGGAACAGTCTTTCCTGTGTTCGTCACTCTGCTCTTTCCTGTCATATCCAAAATGGCCGCCGCATGTTCACGTGAAGTATTCACTGAAGGCGTCAGAGCGGGTCTTTACACCTGGCCTACAGGTGAGAGGGTTGAAAAGCTTCATAAACACCTACCTAGGAAAGCCAGACAAACTCAGAACCTGGACAGGATCCACATACAAGCTTAAGATACAGAATTAGAACCTAAGCTAAGGGTTAAAGCTAACATTCTTCATAGTCTAGTGTATAGTATATAAGTCCCGTGTATATATAAGCCACGAGAGAGCCAAAAGATACAAAATTCCGATCACTAGTTACTGTCTTGTTCTTAACTCAGATCGCCGTAGACAACGGTTTTGGGGGAGTGTATGGACAGCAGAAAGCTGATTGGATGGTGGATGTGGTTCAACAATACTTCCATGACAACGGTAGGTAATAATGTTAACCCCTGACGATGATGGAGGTAATGATGATTATTATGGGTGATGATTATTACAATGGGTGTCAGCAAATGTAAGTTACAATCGCATGCAAAATAAAATAATAATAATCCTTGTGTGTACGTATGCGGAATCAGCTGACCTTCAGCAGTATGAAGTGGAAGATTTCATCAGTTATCTTATAGATCAGGAGTTCGACACTGTGGTGGATGATGGAAGTTTACCTCAGGTAAAGACATACACACAGAAACGTGTGCGTGAGATTGCGTGTGTGTTGATTATTTACTCCTCCCGTCTCAGGTCTCAAGCAGTCTCCTGCAGATGTTCAGTCAGTGGCAGCAGGGGGCGCTGCAGCAGCTCCAAAACACTATCAACACATTGACACAAAAGAGTGGGAGAGTCAAGGTTCAGCCCCCACCACCATCATCTGATGACAGCGATGAAGAAACACAGGTGAAACTCATGCGCTCTCATATTACCTAATGGGGAGCATGTATAGAGTAAATAATAGACAAATTACTGAAACGTATGTGCATCTAGAGGAAAGATCATGAACAAACTCTCTTGTAGTATATTTATGAAGAGTTGCGTGAAACGTTGCACTAAGTTTTAATAGAACTAATATAGGTATTAGTTTGGAGCTGGGGCTAATGCACATGGGTTAGGAGAGGGTACACCCTGAAAGTTTGTAAATTTAGCACTGGGCCCATATATAGAGACAAACAACCATTAACGTCTGTGGTCAATTTAGAGTGTCAAATTGGCATGTTTTGAGACTGAGAGAAATCTGGAGGACCTGGAGAACACCCACATGCACACAGAGAAAAAAAATGCCATACAGAAAAATCAAGCAGGGATTTTACTGAAGCTTCTTGCTGGTAAGGCAGATGATCTAACAACATTTGCCACCTTATGGTCCATAATTAAACTAATTGAATCTAATATTAATTTTAAAAAGGAACTATATTGTAATCATTAACATCTTTATGTTAAAATCATCCACAGTAATAATTTAATCGTTGATTATCACTAATTAAGATAGAAAACAGAGACTCCTGAATAAGGTGCAGGTAGATGGTAAACACTGAATAACATTACTGGCTTTTCTGATTTCCTGCCAGATATAGTTAAGTTTAGAAATAAGCTTTGGAAGGAGTGATAGTTAAGGTTTAGAACTGGATGGTTTTCCAGAAAGCAGATTTTGTGAAATGTCAGAGTAAATTGCCCCAGAGATAAGGGCAAATTTGAGGTATCCCTTCTAGAAAGAGAGGTAACTGAAACTCTGAGTCAGTCACCATAGCAACAGACCCTGTGAACATAACCTGCTCACTGGCAGGTTTACTTGAAGAAACACTGAGTTTTTACCTGTCTCCTCCCACATGAAGTAAGGTTTTTCGAGATGGATTGTCTATTTTTTTCCCCAGTCCAAGTGATAACTTGGCCGAAATTAAAGTCACCAAAAAGTACAGGACGAAACAAGAAAAATGACAATAATCCCATTGTAATTAACAAAAAGTACCACTGCAATGTAAACAGAATATGCAAAAAAGTCTGTGAGAGATATACATAGTACAATTTTTCACCTTTCTGTAAAGTCAATCACACTTATACTCAAAATATAATTCCATTACTAGTTATATTTTGAGTATCTATATAGGGTAGTGTAAATAAGGATGTAAATGATGGATTTTTAGCTTCTTCATTAGGTGAAAGAAGCAGATGCTGTCTGAACAGTGTCTTTCTTATTAACTAATCCTCTTGTTCGAATATTTTCCCAACATGTATAAACTAGACCTTAATTGAAAGTATTTATGCTGGTATGACGTTTTTATCTCCAGGTGATGGAGTGCGACAACTCAGGTCCATCAGTCAGCAGGACACAGACTTCTTTGGCTCCTCTACCTGTTCCTCAGGAAGAGGATGAAGATGGCTGGACTGTTGTCAGAAGAAAAAAGTGAAGAAGAGGAATATGATGAACTGTGAATTTTAGAGAATGACGATGATCTCTGTCCTCCTCGAGGACAGCGTGATTGACTGCAGCCATGATGACAGCATCACGGCAGAGTCCACAACCAGAAGAATTTTTTTTTGGAACGGTTTACCTCTTGATTGCAATGTTTTTATCATTTCTGACAACTATTATTTTTAATATTTGATAAGAATTCAATAAGGACAGCTTAAACATTTAATACATTTACACTTATTTAACTTCCACTTGTTTTACAAACTTTCTTTACTGTCTGACGCAGTCTGTATTAATAAAGGCATATTCATGTTGGTTAAAATATGTATCGAATCAGTGGTCCAGAAAAAAAAACACCACAATACCTAAGCATAGTTAGAACACGTCACCTGTGGCTGCTGAAGGCATTTCTCTTTTTGACCAGCAGGGGTCACCAAGTCCTCTAAACTCGGAATCAATCAACAATGTTTATTTTCACAAAAGAATATACATTTCCACACAAATGACACATGTAGAAAAATAATTGAAGCATGTCATGTGAGTGTGGGTGATGGGCCAAGGCACTGAAGTCGTTGATAGGTCAGAGGTCAATAGTGTAAACAAAATCAGAGGTTCAGCGAACGTCAACAGAAAACCACAATCGACAGCAATTCAGTCAAAATGAAGAGAAAGCTTGACGAATAAAAATGTAATTCTGTAAAACAGCTTTAGATGAAAATTTAAACATACAGAAATCTGAACAGTACCAGTGATTATTTCCAATGAGTACTGAAGTACAGTCTCCAATGCCTTTTTTGAGAACACAGTATCCTGATCTCGTGTTTATGAACAGTAATGTCAACAATCCAGGAATTCCAGGTTTAAAAACAAACTACCAGCTAAACTTTTTTTTGCATACATTGCGCTGCAGGTTAGGCTTCTAAAATGTTGAGCTATTGTGCAATATCCTCTTTCCTCAGGGAAAAGTGCTAAATTACTACTGCTTGCTGTGGTCAGTCACTGAAATGTAGCAGAACAAAGGATTTAAATGAAGCAAGCAGTGGATTGAAAATTGCTGTTTCTCCATTAGCTATTAGGAGTTTTTTGTAAGTATGTATTAAATAAATATTTAAAGATAATGAACACAGACTGCAGAATTTCATAGTTTATGTTGTGCTTTATACCATAAGCTTGTCATTTCCAAAGCTTTTTTTGTGCATCAAACATTTTGGATACTCATAGCCAACTGTCCCTTTTCTTTTACTTAGCAAGCTTTACTGAGTTTTGTGTGGTTTTAAAAGGATTGTGTATTTCATTTTCAACTTTCTATAAATGACAACTTTCTGGACAGCAGGTTTGTTGTGTTTTTATGGATTTTTTTCAGGCTATATCACATGGATCAAGCGCTGATTTCGAGATAAACTTATAGATGAAGACATCAGTGCAGAAATGCTGTATCAATTTTTACATGTCCTCTAAAAGAAAATGGGACGCACAGAAAACCGTGAATCTGGGCAACTGTCAATTTAACTGTGTGGATTTGCTGTACCATCAATCATCTGCCAATGATTACAGAAAAATGAATTACATTAGTCACATCAGTTGTTAATCATAAAACCACAGTGCAACAAAATGTGTGGTTTTGTTTTCTATGTCTGTAGCCAAGCGTGCTGCAGACATTGTGCAGCTGTTGCTCTTCTTTCAGGTACCAGCTCCAACATGGTAGACAGGAAGTCACTGAACTGAGCTGCCTGGTCCAATGGCCACTCGTACTTTTCCAGCAAAACCTCAAAAAGACCCCAGGGTTTTAGGCTGGAGATGTGTCGTAGCTCACCTGAATTTGGGAGAGACATGAAAAATTGCAAATCAAGTTCCTGATAGAGAAATGTTAGGTCCCTTCAGCTGTTGCCTCTGCTTCTACATCTCTCCCTCAGGTACAAAGACTTTGTGGATTTCTTGCTGAAACATAGTGTTACGCTTAAACCCAGAAACTAGTGAACACACAAAAAAAATTAGATGTATCAAACTGTGCAAGCTCACAGATCCAAGTATGTCATTGGAGCATCCCAATGAACGTGGAATTGAGTGCACATGCTGAAGTAGCAAACCACAGCTCCCCGGATGCTTCAGCTTAGTGATGTTCGATACCACCAATTTCCTTCCCGATCCGATACCGAGTAAAATTCGGGCTGGTATCGCCGATACCGATATCGGTACCGATATTTTATCATTTGTCTTTTAAATAAAAAAAAAAGTGTATTTCAAATTATAGCTTCTTTAAGAATCCAAGGCAGAGTTTTTTATTTATTTATTTATTTATTTTAAACTCTGGAGTGTACTGAGGTAGCTGCCTCATTTACTATACAGTCAACACAACAATAGAAAAACCTGAGAACACAGTCATATAAAATATGTCAAAACAATGTTTCAAACTCTGAAAACATGTTATTTGTAAAAAAATAAAAATAAAATAAAAATAATCTGAGGAGCCATTTGGGACCCGAAAGAGTCGGATTTTTTCAGTGAACCGAGCCAAAAGAACCGGTTCTCTAAAAAAGAGCCGAAATTCCCATCAATAGTGACTGAGTGAGAGCACGGAGTAGAGCCCCTGTGCTTACGCATGACGCACACACCCAGGCGGAAGAAGAAGTAGTCCCACCAACCGAGCGTCACTTAGACAACATCTCAATAATTTGGATACTTTTCACCATGTTTCTGTTTAGGATACACCTCATCTCAGAATGCGTAAGTATCAAAAGTATCGATATTTTGATTTCAGAATCGATTTCAGAGCATAAAGATCCAGAATCGGAAGTATCGATATTTCAGGATCGATCCGCACATCACTACTTCAGCTACCCCATGTTTACTTTGGTGATAGGTAAAATGCAGAGGTTGCATTTTGTTGTGTGCAGTGATGTACTGTGTCACAATGACAAGTAATTCACTCTCACTTTTCACATTATTAGGAGGTTCCCAGCATGACCTCCTGGGATCGCCAAAGAACATTAGTTGTAGAAACGTGCGTTCGACAGCCACCGAGCTGCCGTGAAATCTAACATTTCCACAGTCATCTCATTTTTGAAACGTACTGACGCCACGTTTTTCTGCGTATGCAACTTCGCACATTAGGCTCCAGGTCTTCAGAACTTCTTTAGGCCTCAGTCCCAAACAATCCAATTGATAATCAAGGCAGTCAGCCTGTTAGCTGCAGACTAACATACTGCCCTCCAATCAGTGAGGCTGGTCTGACCTGAAGTTGAAGCCTCCACAAATGCATAGGCTTTGTGTGTTTATTGAGTAAAGAGTGAAGATAGCAGGTTTGTTAGCTCATTAATTGTTGCTTATACCTAAGGGTGCATGACTGATAGGTCATTTTCTGTAGGACATTTGTGTGTATATTGTGTGTTCTTGATTGTAAGAAAAGTGGGCAGTCAAGGAGATATTTTGTACCAGTTAGCTAAACAAAAATATGACTTTAGAGAGACCCACACTGGTGACACTGGCTGTTAAAGAATGGTTCCTACGCTCCTGCTGAGGTGGTCTCGGGAGTACCTGCCGGACAGAGCAAATGGTAAAGGGATTGGACCCAGAAGCTCGATGATGTGAGCAATGTGATCTAAAAAAAAACAAACAAACAAAGAAGACATATTTTCAAGCAAAGATTTGTACTGTAGCCAGATGTACTATAGTGCTTGGTGTTTTACACGGTGCAGTTGTGCGTGTTCTCATGCCTTCATCTCTTGTGTAATCTTCTCCTGAATGAGGCTCAAATAAGTAGTCTCCTGTTGCCAACTCAAATGCCTGAAATATTAACCAGCAATAAGTGCATCCAATCAATCGGTCAGTCAGTCAGTCAATGCAGCAGATTGTTGTTTTTGTTTTTACCATGCAGGCTGTGCTCCAAATGTCCGCAGGTGGACCATACTCTGCTCCGATGAGAACCTCCAGAGCACGGTACTGTCGGGTTTGAATGTCCTCAGTGAAGTGTTTGTGCTTAAAGACAGAAATTAAAATATCTCACTGTCGTCACTGATTATTATTACAAATTGTTAGTGTTATCTGTTTCTCACTTACCACCCAGCAGGCGTTTCCTAGATCCGCAATCTTTACTTTAAGTTTGTCAGCATTCTGTGGATCCAGGGGACTGAGGACAAAATCTGTTGCATTGAAAGCTAAAAGAAAAGAAAGAACCTACAAGGTGACAAAGTGAACAGGTATGGATGTAAATTCATTTATGTGCACGTCTGTCTCTTGTTACTTTCTCACCATCACGTTCACATGAATATCCAGACTGCAAAGAAATTGCAGACTCAGACGTTGCTGACATCATAGAGCTGGAAAAACTCGACATACCAGAGGCAGGGCTAGAGAACCGACCAGAGGCATGGTTATCAAAACCGTCCTCCAACCAGGAGCAAGATGACTCCGGACTGGTTTTGCTGTTATCTGTGGAGCAGGAAGTGTTTCCGTTGACAACTATGGAGCCTAAAAGCAAAAATCTGATAAATGATCAACTCAACAGTGAGCAAAACTGTGTTAGCTACTACAGCTACTGTAGCATTTGTGTCCCTAAAGGTAAAACTGTTGCTTGTCTGTGTGTGTGTGTGTATTCACTCACAGTTACTGTGCGTGTCTTCACTATGATGACTGTTCTCATCGTCCATCCTCTAGGGAAACGGAAATATAGAAATTGTTTAGAATTTTTTTTTTCTGAATGGCTGACAAAATGCAGCTCAAATAATGTAAACCTTTTTACATAAAAGAAATTACAACCATGGCTTGAAATAGCGAACATGACCTTACTCGTTACTGAGTATGTCACACTGGCCAAAAAATGCATAATAAGGAAGAAAAAACATAGTCGGTCTGGAGTATAGGTCACACCATATGTCAATTTTCAGATGTTCAGGAGTAGCAGATACTTGTACACAAGCCTAGAGTGCCCTCTAGCGTCTGTCAGTATGAAAAAAAACGAACATGTACATTTTCTGTTAGCAGATTTTTTTTTTACTACCTGAGTCAAAATCAGGCTATCTAAAATTAAACTGACCTATTTCCAAAACTACTTATAAAATGACTCACAAATACTACTCAATTACAGTGATGTGAGTACCATAGTTTCCAGAGTATAAGTCGCACCAGTCAGCTAGAGTGCGGGCTGTGGTACAGGAGTAGCAGATACTGGTACACAAGCCTAGAGTGCCCTCTAGTGGCTGTCTAGTGCGAAAATAAAAAAACGTGAAATTATATGTAATCCCTCTCCTATTGCGGTAGTTCTGTTCTAAGACCCACCACGAAATGGGAAACCTTCGCGAAGTAGAGGGGAGATAGTTATTATATTATTTACAATGTATGTATTTGGCCTTTCTGAACCTCCCCCACTCTCTTATAAACCCTCCCAGACTGTATTACCCTTTCCCACACAATTACATATTTGCCATGCAGCAGTATGGTAGCTCAGTATTACAGTTCTACTACAGTACAGAAGGTACCTGTATATCCACCATTCTCTCCTCCAGCAGTTTCTGTTGACGTTTGGCTTTTCTTTTGATTTTCTTTTTCTTGTTCTTCGACATTTTACCCGCCTAAACAGTTGCATTGCACACAGACAAAAACACAGACACAAACATCTTAGGGTCAATGTCTCTCTCATCTTGCTAACCTGCTCAGTATTTGAGGTTATGGTGGACACTGTGAGCAGAGAAACTTCTCTGCTGGACACTCACCTGTAGATCTCTGGGAGCCGTGCTGACTGAAGGAGAGAGGTAGAGAAATATATGCACCAACAGGAAGAAAGATAGAAAGAAAAATGTGAGAAAAGCAGCAGCAGGGGGGAAAGAAAGAAAAATATATAATTCAACAGGGGATTAAAAGGCAGAGATTGACAGGTAACGGAGAAGAAGAGACAAAGAGACAGATCACATCACAGACCGAAAGAGCAAATAAGGGGGAGAGACAGCTTACTGAGATGGACAGAATGAAGATAAGACAAATGACAAAAAGTCAGAAAACAGGTCACTGTTTCAGAAAGAGACAAAGAAGGATCCTTAAAGGAAAACAAAAAAACAAAAAAACACACACACAGCTCCCAGACTCTCTCCCTACTGGAGAGAAATGACCAACTCGATGACCTGCTTCTCACCTGAGGAGCCTGAAGGGGGTGGAGCTCCAGCTCTCTGCCAGAGTGTGGCCTCAGCAGCCAGTCTGCGAACATAAACTTCATCCACTTCCAGAAGGATGTTCTCTGGCTTGATGTCAGTATGGATGATCTTACATTTGGTGTGGAGGTAGTGGAGCCCCTGAAGAACCTGCAAAACAGACAGGTGCTTGTGAGTAATGCACGTGTGCAAGCACCACCTCCACACCCACCGAACAACCCAGCCACGCATTATTCAGTGCTGATAACTTAGCACTTGGCTTAGTGTGAGTCCCACCTGTCTCAGAATGGTCTTCACACAGACCAGAGGGAGTCCCATGTAGTTTGACTTGATAATCCATTTCAGCAACTGATGACCCAGAACCTCCAGAACCATACAGACATCTGAAAAACGTTAGCTAAGGACATCAACAGCCGAGGACAAATGCACAGTACCACTGACTGGCAATGAAGGATACGAACTCCATTTACTCCAGAAATCTTAAAATCGTCGATGAGCTGCACAATGGTTTCTCTATTATGATCAGAGGGGTCACTGTCCCTGACCTGTAAATACACAATCACGCACAACGTGAGTGAATAAACCTGTAAGTATTCGGGATAAAACGAGAAAGGGGCTATCCTGGGTTAAAGTGTACGTCAAACAATAATCCAGTGCGCGTGTCTCTAGTATATCTTTGCGTGCCAAACTCACACATCTCAGCAGTTTTATCTCATCCAGCGCCGTCTCGGTGTAATGAGCAGCACTCTTAACCACCTTTAGCGCCACAAAACGTTTCTTGCTGAAAATACATACAAAAAAAAATTTTCAAAAACCAAAAAAAAAAAAAAAAACAGTATCTTTAAATGTGTCTATGTGTGCATTTGACATACTGCAGGTCCCAGCACAGCCAGACAGTTGAAAAATGTCCCCAGCCCAATTTTCTGACCACATGGTATCGTCCATTGAAGAGGTCACCTATTGTCACCGGATAGTAACCACCTAAGCATACATACACAAACAAAACAAATACAAATGTCTGTGTATCACAATGAGGACTAATGCCATTTTAAGGCGTTAGGATTTCCTTTTTCTACTTTTAAAACATTTATGAAAAATATATAAAATTACAAACATATTTTCACGGATAAGAGTTATTTTTATTTCTCGCTCTTGTTTGTGCTGTTGCTAGTTCGAAAATGGACACGTTTTAAGGTGCGTAAAAATAGTTACTTTAAAATGTGTGAAACACGAGTCTTAAGACAAAACGTGTGTGTTGTTTTTTATCTTTTAGATGGGGGGCGGGGGGGGGGCAAGAAATTATGACAAGACGTTTAGATCCTTCCTTGACT